GCCTATCGAAGTAGTTGAGATAACGAAGCCGGGCCGTTGTTGGTCGGAGATAGCCGCGGTTGATAACGGCCGTCGCATCAGAGAGTTTGTATAAGCAAAGAGAAATGCTGATGGGAAGTGTCTCTGCGACTCAAGTCGTTGTTGGTTCAGAATCGATCCCAATGCGGAAAAGACGCCAGGCTTGTGCCAGCCTTGCGGGCGAGGTAGTTGCCAAGTTTGGGGGTGAGAGCTGCATAACGTGACACCGTGATGTAATCTGGAGCTGGTCGCGTTGCCGGCCTCACGCGTCTCCAGCTTTCTCCACAGGCACGTCGAGTATCGTCACAACCCCGCGAATCACTCAATGGCGCCAAAAAACAGTCAATCGTCGCAGCCAAAGTCGTCGCAGAAAGCCACGCAACCGACCATCTCGAGCTTCTTCACAAAGAAACCGGCGCAAACGCCCGAGTCGGCACCCAAGCCTGCTCCAAAGGCGCCTGCTCCACCCCCCATCACCGACCCAAACCAAGACGACGACAACGATGACGACGAGGATGGTTTACCCGTCTCACAGACCATCCCCGTCCGCAAGCGCGCGATAGACGAGGACAATGTTCAGGAACCCCGACGCTCTTCCCCCTCCAAGCGCGTTAGATTCGAGAAGGGCGATTCGCCGCGACAGGCGTCTGCACCTAAACCCCAAAAAATCACTGATCGAACTTCCAAGTTTCTCTTCTCCTCGTCACCTCCCGCACGGGACGAGAGCCGTCAAGACGACGAAGAGGAAGCCGCGCTCTCGCAGAGGCAGAAGGAGAGGCTACACGACAAGTTTGTCAAGAAGCTGGGTCGACCAGATAGCTTTGCCGAACTCAGGAGGCGCAACAAGATTATATCCGACGACAGTCCCAATGCCAATGGCGAGGAAGGCGACGGAGACGAGGATGAAGAGGATGAGCCTGCCCAGAAGCCCACCAAGGGGAAGAAGGGCGCTGTGACCAAGAAGGCGAGCAAGCTGACACCCATGGAAATACAATATTTGGACATCAAGCGCAAGCATCTGGACACAATCATCGTCATGGAGGTTGGCTACAAGTACAAGTTCTTTGGCGAGGACGCAAGAACCGCGTCCAAAGCGCTGGGCATCGTCTGTATACCAGGTGAGAACTCTGAATTATAAACTGCGTATGAAACGTATACTAACGTTATGCTCCAACATTCTAGGAAAATTCAGATACGACGAGCACCCTTCCGAAGCACACCTCGATCGATTCGCATCTGCCAGTTTTCCTACACATCGTCTACAGGTCCATGTTAAACGTCTCGTACAGGCGAATCACAAGGTCGGTGTAGTACGACAGCTAGAGACGGCCGCGCTTAAAGCGGCAGGTACCAACAGAAATGCCCCCTTTGTACGGAAACTCACAAATCTTTATACCAAGGGTACGTATGTGGACGACGTTGAGGGCCTGGAAGCCCCCACCGAAGGCTCTGGCGCTAGCGTACAGTCGACTGGATATCTCCTTTGCATCACCGAGAGCAATGCGAAAGGATGGGGTACGGACGAGAAAGTTCATGTCGGCTTAGTGGCTGTTCAGCCGGCGACCGGCGACATAATCTACGATGATTTCGAAGATGGTTTTATGCGCAGCGAGATTGAGACACGGTTACTCCACATTGCGCCAGCCGAGTTCTTGGTCGTAGGCGACCTGTCTAAAGCTACAGAAAAGCTTATACAACACCTGTCAGCTAGCAAGACCAACGTCTTCGGAGACAGATCGCGGGTCGAGAGGGTAGAAAAGCCAAAGACCATGGCTGCGCAAGCCTACAGTCACATCTCAAACTTCTATGCAGGTAAAATGAAGTCCAGTCAGGAAGCCGACTCCGACAAGCAAGGCGCAGTCCTCGACAAAGTACATCAGCTATCAGAGCATGTGACTATATGTCTCTCATCAATGATCACATATCTTAGCGAGTATGGGCTAGAACATGTTTTCGATCTCACAAAGTACTTCCAACCCTTCAGCGCCAGGTCGTACATGTTGCTGAACGGCAACACTCTATCCAGTCTGGAGATCTACCAGAATCAAACAGACTACACTTCGAAAGGCAGCTTGTTCTGGACCATGAATCGGACGAAGACTCGCTTTGGACAGCGGTTGCTGAGAAAGTGGGTCGGCCGGCCATTGATTGACAAAGAGAGATTAGAAGAGCGCATAGCGGCGGTGGAGGAACTCAAGGAAGGCGATAACACCATACCTGTGGATAAACTGAAATTCGTGCTCGGAAAAATCAGAACCGATCTGGAAAAGGTACTCATTCGCATATATTACAAGAAGTGTACAAGGCCGGAGCTATTGGCAGCTTTGCAGAGTCTGCAGGAGATATCGAGCCAGTACCTGTCGGCGAAGACACCCGAACAGAGTGGCTTCTCCTCCTCACTCCTGAGCGAAGCAGTTTCGAATGTTCCAAAGATATACGATGACTTGAACAGCTTTTTGGAGAAGATCAACGCTCAAGCTGCAAAAGACGATGACAAATATTCGTTCTTCCGTGAAGAGCATGAGGCAGAAGATATCAATGACCTGAAGCTGAGCATCGCCTCTGTGGAAGACGACCTCAATACGCATCGAAAGGATGCGGCTGCGAAGCTGGGGAAAAGCCAAGTAGTCTACGTCACAGTTGCTGGAATCGAGTACTTGATCGAGGTCAAGAGGAAGGCACCCGAAGAGAAGAAAGTACCTGCTTCATGGCAACAGATCTCAGCCACAAAGACGACCCTGCGTTTCCACACTCCAGAAGTCAAACGTATGCTCCAGGAACGAGACCAGTACAAAGAGTCGCTCGCTGCAGCATGCGAAAAAGCCTACATAAGCTTGTTAGAAGATATTTCATCCAAGTATCAACAGCTCCGAGACTGTGTAGCCTCTTTGGCAACACTCGACGCCCTCCTTTCCTTGGCCACCTTGGCGAATCAGCCGGGCTACGTGAAGCCTACTTTCACAGACGATATCGAGCTCAACATCACCGGTGGTCGGCACCCCATGGTCGAGCAACTACTCCTCGAAAACTACGTTCCCAATGACCTTTCCCTCTCCCACAACTCCACGCGAGCTCTCCTCATTACTGGCCCCAATATGGGCGGCAAATCCTCTTACGTACGATCTGCAGCTTTGATCGCAATCATGGGTCAAATCGGTTCCTACGTCCCGGCTACCGAAGCGCGACTAGGTATGCTAGACGCGGTTTTCACCCGTATGGGCGCCTTTGACAACATGCTCAAAGGCGAATCAACTTTCATGGTCGAGCTCAACGAAACCTCGGATATCCTCAAATCCGCGACACCGCGTTCCCTCATTATCCTGGATGAGCTGGGTCGTGGCACATCAACCTTTGACGGTGTCGCCATTGCGGAAGCAGTGCTTGATTACGTTATCCGGGACCTGCAGTCGCTCACGCTGTTCATCACGCATTACCAGCATCTGGCCAAACTCTCAGGTCGCTTCTCCAATGGTGAGCTGAAGAACGTCCATATGCGCTTTGAAGAGCAGAATGGTGGAAAGGAGGTCGTGTTTCTATATGAGGCCACAGAGGGTATAAGTCATCGATCTTACGGCTTGAACGTAGCGCGATTGGCAAGGGTACCTGAGAAGGTCATCGATGTGGCGGAAGTAAAGAGTACGGAGCTAGAAGAAAGCATGGGGGCTTGTAAGCTGGGGAACCTGTAAGTCGAACCTAGAGAAAAGGATGCGACGGACGACAGAACGTGCTAACAATGACTAGGTCGCGCATGATGAAGGGTTTGTTGACTGACGAATCAGAAGCAAGTCTTGATAGGCTTGTCGAAGGCATTGAGCAGCTGTAACGTGCCGATGTGGACATGTATTACATAGCTGAGGAGGGACGGGATCACGTAAAGCAAAAAAATGAGCTTGATTGTGGGGTATTATTCTTGTTTCATTCTGTGATTATCATAATTGTATTCATGCCACCATCATTGTCATGATGGTCCATAGCCGGCGGATCTCGTATCCTCCCAGCTTATAGCATAATCTTGATCATGCCGGAGCTCTAGCTCAACAGCTTAACCGAGACGAGTCTCCTTGTCCTTGATGGGGATATCGGAGCCGGTGGTGCTCTTGTACTGGCCACGGATGAAGTCGCTGATCTGTTCGTCCTTGGCTTGTTCGACGGCAGACTCGTTGTCTTGAGGACCTTGACCCATGAACTTCTCTTGGACGAAGTCGACACCTAGAATAAAAGTTAGCGTCTGTCACACGATGGGAACACCTCATGATAGACGATGACGGAGTGCTGACATACCCTTGTCAAGGTAGTCCTCGTTCTTCTCGCTCTCCCGGCCGCCACCAGCAGCCGAGTTGAGCTTGTCGCCGATTCCGCCGAGGAAGCCACCTGAGCCAGAGGACTTTTGCTCAGAGTTTTGGCCTTGGACGACCTGCTCGTTGACAGAGTTGCCCTGGGTGTTGCCGCTGCCGGTAACCTTGTTGATGAAGTCCATGATGTTTGCTTGGTGTTAAATTGGAATTAGGTAAAGTAGGCGAGGACAGTGTAGCAGTACAAGTTGTAGATGAGTGTGCGAGGTTGTTGTGAGATACAAGCTGAGTGCAATGGAGGAGAGAGCTATTTATGCAGCTGGTTGGCTGGCAAGGATGTGTGATCTTGGAAGCGGGAGCAGTGACGGGTCAATCAAGATCAGTCCCTGATGACAGACTCTTGGTATTGGAGCTAAGTTGTTCTGATAGGCGTATATTGCAAGCTGGGGTATGAAGCTCCAGGTAGTGTACCTGATATGTAGCTGGTCTTGGTAGCACTGCCCCGCTTGCTGCGCGTCTACGTCATTCGAAGCTCGACCCCGCCAACGCGGAGGTTGAAACTAGTGCTATCGCGAGGGGGTTCCGCTATCACGATTTGCACGTGCGGGAAATATTGCCATTGCGTGTTTGCATTGCTTGTTTTTGAGAATCAAACCGCGTCCGCGCGTCTGCATCACTGTCGTCATCACCATGATACCCATCACCATCATCACAGGCTTCCTAGGCTCGGGTAAAACAAGTAAGTTGTAAAATTCAGTCACAATTCTTCCGATACCCCACAACACGAAATGAGCGCGTTGTGTTGATTTAAACTAACAACCTTACAGCACTCATCCTGAACTTGATTCCTCAACTCCCTAAAACTTACAAACTTGCGCTCCTGAAAAACGAATACGGTGACATCAAAGTCGACACAGCACTCGCCTCCTCGGCTGCTATATCTGGTGTACAAGAACTTCTCAACGGATGCATATGCTGCAACCTCGTCGGGCAGCTTTCCGACGCCCTTGAAACACTTGCCAACGATGTAAAACCCGACCGCATCGTCATCGAGACCTCAGGCTCTGCGTTTCCTGCAACATTGGCCATGGAGGTCAATAGGCTGAGCAGGGAGACGGGGAAATATGTCTTGGATGGTGTCATGAGCGTCATTGATGTAGAGAATTGGAAGGGTTACGAGGATACGAGTTACACAGCCAAGATGCAGGCAAGGTACACAGACCTTATCGTACTCAACAAGCATGAACTGGTCAGCGAACGAAGGTTGGAGGACGTGGAAGATGCAGTGCTAGCGCTCGAGGTTGAGCCACAAATACCTAGGACAAAGAGCAGGAAAGGGTGGGTGGACAAGGATATCGTCTTTGGGCTGGATGCCCGGTTGGCGGGAGTCAAAGAGGAAGATGGAAGCGCGCATGCACACGATCATGGCCATGATCATGACCACTCCAGCGAGGTCGAAGTGCTCACTGTTACGCTAAAGAGCCAGGATAGGCAGAGCAGCGTGGACATGGCGAAACTCGCCAAATTCCTGGAGGATCCAACCAAAGACGAAGTATACCGCATCAAAGGCATCATGTACACTTCTACTCCACCAAAGTCTTCAGATGCTGAAGCAGATGTACATCAAAAGATACCAGAGGGAAGAGCAAGATATATTTTGAACTGGGCGTTCGGACGTTGGACCTTTACGGCTGTGCCATTGCCAGCCAGCGAAAGCTCCATTGACGACGAGCCCGCACTAAGATTGACAGTAATCACTGCGAGATATGAGTCAACTAAGTGGAAGAAACAAATCGAATCAAGTGGGCTGATCGCATTACAAGGCGGTGTCGAGGATTCGTTGAGAGTGGAAAGGATAGCCTGATTGGTGGGCGTTGGTGTCTCGATCTACCTTACCCAACATTTAGATTTAGAGAACTTCATTCAATAGATTTCGATTTATCGCACGACGCATTTGCGCAAGTACTCGAACACTACTCCTTCCCACTAGAGTGCTTGCACCTCAACAAGCGCTTCGGAAGAGGCTTAGACGTCACAACATATAAATAATGACTAACATTCCTTACAACAAATCAGTATAGACAGACTTGCTGTATCTGTGACAGAAAATGCAATCACCAAAGTGGTGTATATTTCACGGCGATCCAACAGTAAAGTTATGCATGTTTATATCAGGACTAGCAAGAAGATTCTAGGTTCCGTGCTGAGAGTAGAAAAGATCTATTATAGGAAAAGACCAACTGGACTCCACCTATGCACTGCTAGTCGTTTATTCATGCGTAGAACCCTTTTCGTGACTCGCCATTCCAATGCCCTTGCCTCCATACATTCGTCGTCATCACCAATCGTCAGGTCGTAAGAGGGGTATAGAACGCGTGAGACGTATTCCTTTTATGAGATCATGTTCAATCAACTTGCTGAAAGCATTCATACCATCATCTCAAGTCGAGCGAGGGTTCTTTGAGAGTTTGCTTAGAGCGCCAAGCAGACCTGTAGTGCTTGTCAGTGAAATGTCGGCTATTATGATGAGAGAAAAAAACCTACCAGTTGCACCGTTGGGTAGTGTCGACATGGCAATTGAGTTGCGGTCACCCACGGTGACGGTCTGGACATTGGGAACCTTCCACTCTTCCTTTAACTTCTCTGCCCATCGGAAGACACCCTCATCGCTCCGGTCATTTCCAGCCGCAAACACAAAGTCGGGTCGAGCTGTCTCTGGGTACTTGCTGAAGATGTACTGCGAAGCAGAGGCCTTATCGAAGTCGATGGGCTCAATGACAACGGAGTCTTTGGTGGGAACCGCCTTGATGCGTTGCTGTTCACATGCATCGTTAATGTGGTTCGCACAGTCGCCGGCATGTCGGCTTGCGGAGTCGTCCTTGTCGGTCGGTTTGTTGTAGTGGAAGATAATAGAGCAGTGACGCTCCTCAACCCAGCTGCCTTCCACACGCTCAAGATAGTACTGTAAGATAGGCTTGACCGAGTCCTTCCATTTTACAGTCTTCTCTTCTTCAGGGAATTGAATCCATTCACTCGCACTGGGCTCGCGCAAGAAACAACCATTCTCGGCGATGAGACCGAGACCTCGCACGCGGTTAAAGATGAGCTCGGTCTCGCGAACAGTCCGACCGGTCATAACGTAGACGACGTTCTTCTCATCAGCGACAAGGTCGTTGAGAACGACGATGACACGCTCGGTGTTTGCCAAGATGGTATTGTTCACAGATCCATAAGAAGCGAGGGTACCTTCGTAATCAAGGACGAAGAGTCGTCGCTGAGATTCCTGGTAAGTACGAGCAAGATTGCTGGAAGAGAGACGAGGAATCGACATGGTGTCGCGCTTGAACTGTTCCTCGTGGACCTTGGCTAGATGGGTACTCAGGTTTTTCACCCAGAAATCGCCAGTTTGGTGCATAACTGTGTTGCGCAACTTGGTGTATCTCCTTTCCTTTTCGGAGTCGGTCATCTCCAATGCAACCCGGAATGCTTCCGCGATGCTGTTGTAATCCCATGGGTTTACGGCTAGATCGGCCCCGTTGAAAACTGAAGCACTTCCGGTAAACTCACTGAGAATAACGGGGCTGTACTTCTTGTCGCTCGCACGCCCATCTTGGCAGATGACGAACTCATGGCAAGTGAGGTTCATGCCTTCACGGAGACTCGTGATGGCGAGAGCGTCAGCGATGGAGAGCAGTGCAAGATATTGCGAGAAAGCAATATCTTGTCTTAAAAAGATGAGAGGGTTGTGCGTCAAGGTAGAGTGGACGGCATCGATACGAGTGACAATCTCGGAGACAGTGGCAGCGAGCTCAGTATCCTCAGTGGTGGATGTGGCGACTTGGATCATGACAACCTTATCTCTCCATTCTGGGTTCTTGTTCAAGAATAGCTCAAATGCCAACAGTTTCTGTCGGACACCGCGGATGTTGTCGAGCTTGTCACGAGCAACGATGACCTTTTTGCCCTCGTATCTCTTCTGCATAGTCGTGATCCACTCCAGAACCTCGGGCTCTTCCCGCGCCAGGGCAAGAGCTCGAGGGTCAATGCCGATCGGTGATGAGTGCACGTTGACGAAGCGATTTTCTAGCTGGACACCATCTTCGGTCGCCTCGACTGAGAGAATCCTGCTACATGTCTGTAGGAAATGGTGGGCGTATTCTGGTGTCTGGAATGCAACTAGGTTGGCTCCGAGCATACCGTCCAGCAGCTCCTTCCGCGCAGCCAAACAGCGGAACACCTCAGATGATGGGAAGGCGGTGTGGAGGAAGAAGCCAATCTGCGCATCTGGGAGCTTCTGGCGGATCATCTGGGGAACAAGACACAGATGGTAATCGTGGATCCAGATGACGTCTCCGCGCTTGTAGTTCTTGACAACCTTGTCTGCGAAGGCTTGGTTGACCTTGACATAGAAGACCCATGAGTGATCAAGGAAAGCCTTGCTCTTGGGGTGATCGGGGATAATGTAATGGAAGACTGGCCACAGGATAGTCTTGCAGTAGTGAGCATAGTGACCGTCGAAGTCCTTGTCGCTGACGAAGACGGTAAGGGCGTCATGCTCCTCCTCGAGTTTCTCATAAATCTCCGTCTTCTTCTCCTCATTCAAGCTGTCTGTGGGGAAGCCGATCAAGCCCACGGTTATCGTGTCGCTGATGCACTTGTTGTCGACTGCACAACGCAGAGCGTTGGTAAGTCCGCCGTTGCCCTGAACAGCAGGCACAACGGTGTACTCAGTGGCCCATCGCGGGTCTGTTGTAGGCTTGCCGGCGTGTGAGCCCTTCATGCGCTCCTTCTGTGCTTGCGCGCGCTCCTGCGCCTTTGCGTATTCGAGAATTGTGTCAGGAGGTGCTGGCTCGGCCCTCGACATGGGCTGGTTGAAGAACAGACCGGTAGTACCCCATTCGGGGACGTGGGCATCGCTACGTACCAAGCCCCGGGGGTCTGCTGGTTTTGGGAAATGAGTGGCAGCGCTGGGCTGACCCGGAGTAAAGAAGTCTTCGTGCTCAGCCATTCTCATGGGGGTCTTGGGCAGCTGAATATGCGATGGCGGCGCCCGCTTAAGGAGGCTTTGAGGCTGTTCGTCGGCTGCATTATTGCTAAGCGGTCGTGCACTGCCTATGCTGGTAGAGGAGGACTCGCGGGCAGTCTCGTTCAGCTTTGGGGGAGCTGGTTGTGGTGGGCTTGCGGGGTTGGACTTGGACTCGTGGAAATCGACAGTATACGGAAGGAAACTAGCTGCGTTAGATGGATTGAAGGCGCAACGCTGCAATTTATGACTATAACGCGCTATCTACAGGCAGGATGAGCACAAGGCGGTTACCTACAGGGAGACGACGTGGGTGGTCATGTTGGGCAGCAGTTTGGCGTCGACGCCGGCTGGTCAGAGATTGTGGTTGTAGAAATGGCGTCAATATTGCGAACAGATATAGGTGAAAGAGGCGGATCCTGTACAAGGGCTTGGGGGAGACGAGGTGAAGTTATAGAGGCGGTGGGAGCGCGCAGTGAAATTTCCGGTAGATTCGATGGATCGTGATGAAGCCCGTCCCAGGGAAAGCAGGGCTTACTGCCGCGTGTAAAGTTGGCGCCCAAGCAAGAAAGAGCTACCGGAGGTGTAAGGGGGTGAAAAGGAAAAATTCAAGATATCTGGCTGTTGTTCCTGGACGAGGCGTGCGGCTTACGGCAAGGGGTGTACTTGATACTTTCACGTCCATGGCCGCAAATTGCAAGATTTCAGCCCCGCGGTATGACGTACGGCCACACCGGACGAGCACAGCGCGTTGGTGGGCCTCTCCACCGTCTCACAGAACCTTGACTCGAGGATTGTCATATTTACGCAAGTACCACGGAAACAAGTCGTCAGACGAATCTACGCCGGCGCATCCTCTGCTAAAACCTGACAGCTGCGGGAGCTTCCAATTTAGTCGCCAATCACACGGCCCCGCACACCAATCAGAGAGTCTACGGCGCGTGCAACCGTTGGGGCTATCAATCATAGCTTGCTTCGATCCTGTGCGCGCGTTCAATGTTCCGATGCCAGTCGCCCCGTCCGTCCAGCCCGGGCAGTTTGCAGCCTGGATGCGACGAGGGCGCATCTCGATGAGGGCTGGCGGGGAAAATGTTGAGTCTTTTCGTAGCGCTTCGGCACCTTGCCCCGTCATGGCATTTGCACAGAATCCGATATTGCGCGAAGAATCCGATGTTCACCTGCATCAAGACCCTCCCACGGCTCCCTACCCCCACATGCTACTGTATTTTCCATGCATGCGGACTGCAGAGACTCTGCAAGTCCCTTGTGTTGCATGCATGTCTGAGAGCTGACGACAAGGTCGGACAAGTCCATTGCGTGTTCCTTCCCCTCAGTACTTCGTCGGGAGATATCATGCATCCTCCAACTGAGACCGGAACATTACAAGGACTTCTCGCTTCACCCTGTACATATGCAGCCCTCGTAAGTAACCGGTTGCGGTGTATGCGAAACCATCATGTCTTCTTGACAAACTGTACATGTTGGCCGTACTAGTGACACATTGATGACCTATTCATTTCTCCAGATCAGACCCTCTTCTTCCTTTTCTCACTCACACCCTTGTCCCCAGATACCCCAATTCCCAACAGATACCCCGTCCTTACCAATACCGGCAGCACATTCAACGTGTTGGTAACTACATCCTTGTCGCTCCAGCCCCCAAAGTCTAGTATCCCGCTCGTTCCCATCTCACACCAAGCCGCATAGCAATGCCCCAAGTCACACAGCACCAGCCCCAACACTATCCACCACCACGTCCTCCTGTCGTCCACAACCCGCATCAGAACACCCTCTGTGAATGCAAAGAATAGGTATGCTGAAGCGAGCTGGTCGTAGGCGAT